ATTGGGACTTCCAGCCCAGAGGGTGTGAGCTGTCAGAGGTCAATACACATAACATAAAATGTACCATCTTTACCTAAGTACAGTTCAGTGGCACTAAGTACGTTGATGCTGGTCAATCCAGGGTTGGGCTATGCAGGCCCTTCTTATTTTTTCTTTGCACTTATTACAAATCTTTTGTCTATTTCATTGGGTGGCATTTGATATTGTACGTGATAGGGAGGTGAAGAGAGTCAAGCATACGTGCATACACACATAGTCAAGGTATCCTCTGCCTTCTAAAATTGTAATTTTCAGAGGGCATCGCCTCTCACTTTCAATGATCATGGAGCTAAGCAGAACAGAGTAAGTTCCACAGTCCATTTATCTGCTAGGTTAGGCCTTCACAATAAAAAGAAAAAGCCTTAATCAAGATATCCCCAGAAAAAACAGCCTTATCCTGTTAAAGAATAACAAGGCAAAGAAATTTCCAAAAGGGAGTCCATTTATCTGCTAGGTTAGGCCTTCACAATAAAAAGAAAAAGCCTTAATCAAGATATCTCCAGAAAAAACAGCCTTATCCTGTTAAAGAATAACAAGGCAAAGAAATTTCCAAAAGGAAAGATGCCACTAAACTGACAATTGAAGCTTCTCCTCAGTGACTTCAAATCTTATGCAGAGTTCTTTCAAACATGTAAAGAAACATTAAGAAGAAATGATCACAAACTCTTACAAAAAAACAGAAGAGCAGGGAACATTTTCCGAGCTCATCCTATGAGGCCGTTTTTTACCCTGACACCAAAACCAGACAAAGATATCACAAGAAAAGAACACTGTAGACCAATATCTCTTATGAATAAAGAAGCAAAAATCCTCAATAAAATACCAAAAGAACAAGTCCAACAATTATATATAAAAAGTACTGTACACCATGACCAAGTAGGATTTAGCCCAGGAATGCAAGGTTGGTTCACTATACAAAAATCAGTCAATATAATAACACCACATTACTAGAATGAAGAAAAAAAACCACCAGGTGATCTTCTCAACAGATGCAGAAAAAGCATTTGAGATAATCCATTATGTTTTTATGACAAAAATACTCAACAAACTTGGAACAGAGGTGGACTTTATCAACCTGATATAGGGCATCTATGGAAAACCCACGGTTAACATCATACTTAAGTGTGAAAGACAAAGCATTCCTCTAAGATCAGAAACAAGACAAAGATGTCTGCTCTCACCCCTGCTGTTCAACATTGTACTGGAGGTTCTAGCCAGGCAACTTTAGGCAAGGAAAAGAAATAAACGGCATCTAGATTGAGAGGAAGAAGTGAAGCCATGCCTATTTGCAGATGACATGATTTTATAGGACATCTACAAAAATACCATTAGAGCTAATATACTATTTCAGCAAGGCTGCAGGATAGAAGATTGATATAAAGAAGTCTTATTATATGGGTTTGGTTCTAAAAGCAGTATTAAAGCAAAAATTGTACACAGTCAATTGTACACAGATCTGTAAAAATTGACCACAAACTAGACAGTTTTCTGTATACAACCCAGTACATATATATTTATAATATATACACAGATATAGTCTATTATTTGGTAAACTATTAATGAATTGCGGCTGGTTGGCTCTTTCTGATTTGTATATATTCACAGATTAGGTGAGAAGAATGTCTTTTCAAATCTCAAAATAGGCAAAAGGAAGTTGTGACTGGATGTCAACACAGACCCCAGCTTCCTGGCCCCGCTGGGCAGGCTCTGAATGAGCAGCACTAACTGAGACAGGTATGGGGAATGCCTCTAGATCCCATCTGTAGAGAGTCTCGTGTCTTTGTCAGGAACAAAGGGCATGCGAAACTAACTGCCCGGTCTCAGGCTCCTAGTGTCCTGAAATCTCCGATTCATTGCAAATAAATGAATCAAAGTTTAGTTTAATCCAACAAGGAGTGGGATCCCTACTTTTGGCAGGCTGTCTAGCAGAACTTGTATTCAAAGATACCATTCAAATGTGTAAATTCATGATTCCTCTTCTCATCTTTCTGTTTGGTACTGTCTGATCTTCTGTAAATAATTGATCTGCCTCAAAATTGTCTTTATTCTAACTTTGTTTATGCCCTCCATTAACCCTTCAATCTCTTCCTAGCAATGTGAGTCATCCGTCCCACTCATGTGACTGGCCCCCAACACTGCATCCCCTTGTGCACACCTGTAGTAGGCTGTGCCAGCACACATTTACGGTTTGGGATCAGCTGCAGCCATTGACTGCAGTATATGCCAATGGGGTGGAGTAGCTGGAATCCTGTCCCTCCACTGTTTTTTTTTTTCCTGCTCAAATAATACAAGTAAAATGTATGTATGTATACAACCAAAGAGCGTCGTAACAAAAGGTATATGACAAATTGGGGAAAGAATTGTAACTTCAAGAGGTTAATATCCTTTTAGGGAGAAACTAATATAAAGAAGATCAGCACCCCCCCCCCAAAAAAAACCCCCAAATGGCCAAAGAAACAGAAGACATGTTCAACCTCACAATAAATCACACATTAATTCTCCACTTACTAAAATAGCACCAAAAGAAAAATAAATAATATCCATGCTTCAGGGATAATGCTCCCTCTCTTAGATTATAACAATTTCTATTCTCTCAAGCAATCTGAAAATACATGCTAAAAGCCTTAAGAAAAGTTTGACTCACTACACTGGGTCTACTTCTGGCTTATCATGAGGAGAGAGTCACATACACAAACATTTATGTGTGAACATGCATCAGAGTTACTGATTTTAACAACAAAACTCAGGATCCACCTGAATGTTGTGATGATGAAGGTTGTTCCATCTCTATAATACGATGCAGCCAATAAAAAATATATTTTCAAATAATGTTAAAGATACAGGTAAACTTTTCTGAAAAGAAAAGCGCTGGTTATAAAATTAAAACGGCATATGGGATGTTTACAGTTTTATGAAAAACTCCTTCTCCAGTGTATACACACAGAAGCCCTGGCTATTTGCAAGGTAGCTGGAAGGAAACTGCAATTTGGCAATTAAGAAGCATATTCTTGGCCACTCATGTCAGTTCAGCACAGAATGTGGAGCTGAAAATACAAAATCTTTTTTGATCCATATTTAAATTATGCAAAATTATAAATTTTAATATGCTTAGAAAAAAATTTAAAGGAAGTAGAAATGATTTGCTTGGGTCCCTTGACTCTATTCAAAGAAGAAAATATACAACAATACATTTCTACCCTATAGCTGTGAGGGACAATTTTGCATATTTTTTTTTTTAGCAAGAACAGTTAACTTTCGGTGGCAGGATTATGGGTGATTTTTATTTTCTTTCACATACTTTTGTATTCAAAATTTTCTAAAATAGACATGCATTATTTTAAAAACAAAACAATATTTTAAAGATTTAAATGATATCAAAATCATTAAAACTACATTTTTCAGCAAGATGCAAAACTGGTAAAGTTAAATCAATAAACATGATTTATTACTTTGTCTATGAAAGTAGTTTCAACACAAGTAAAGTTTAGACTACATTGGGCTGCTCCTGACTCAGTCTTGGCAAATGCTCCAAACGTGGGTTTGGTCCCCTCCTTGGTCCAGATGTGAATACACAGACTAGCCCCCACACTAGGAGCTCCCAGGAGCACAGAGCCCACCATACCATTGTCAGGCTGTGGACAGTTGGCACAATTTACAACCTGATTGATAAACACTATGATGAAATATGGCCAGCATTTCCCTAGGTTCATTGTATATTTAAAGAGGACTCATTTGGGCACAACATATGCAGTTGTTAAAATACATTTTAAGAAAAAATAAATATTCTGCACAATATATTTACAAGGATCAATTGTTGTGTCTCCCAACCCCAATTACCATAAAACTGGGAAACAATAATTTGACAATTAAGAAGCACAATCTTGGCCATTAGTGCCAGTTCAGAATGATGTGGGGCTGAAAACCCCAAATCATTTTTGAACCATATATAAATATGCAAAATTTCAAATTTTAATATGCTTAGAAAGAAAGAAGTTTTTAAAGAAATAAAAATGATTTTGCTTGGGTTCCTTGACATTTTTGAACCATATATAAATATGCAAAATTTCAAATTTTAATATGCTTAGAAAGAAAGAAAAGTTTTTAAAGAAATAAAAATGATTTTGCTTGGGTTCCTTGACCCCCTTCAAAGATGAAATTATGCAACAATGCATTCCTACCCCTTAGCTTCATGTTCTCTCTGGAAGCACAGGCCTCACAGGACGCCACTAGTCACCCACCTAGTCATTGCTTTTGATCACAAAGAACATTTACTACCAGCTATCGCACAAAAATCACAATGCACAACCTTTGACAGGGACAGCAGGGGTGAGGGCTGCCTTTAAAATTTGAAGAGATCAATGAAGTGCTGTGGAGACACGGGCATGAAGCAGCTGTCGGGGTCGGCCGCAGTACATGGGTGTCCCGAGTCCTGTGGGGAGGAGAGAGACACAGTTAGGAAAGCTGTGTCACCACCGTCAGCCACATCTGGAGAGAAGCCATCAGCTGTTTAAGTGGACTCTGGACCCCACAAAGGTTTATGGACAATAACTTGGATGAGAATTATTAAAACAATGGCAGCCACAGCAGTTTCTCAGTAGAGATTTCCTGTGGAATTTCTGCTCACATGGAGGAAACAGGTGGTCCCAGTCCCAGAGTCAGCCCTGGAAAGCTGTGCCTGGCCCTGAGTAAGAGGAGCTGCTGCCCCGCATGATGCTACCCCAGAGCCTACGTGGCAAAAAACGAAACCACTGGGGCCTTTCTGCCTCTCCGATCCTGGCCTTTCCTAGGACTTCCCTCTACCTGTCACTCATCCCTTTAATCAGTATGGAGGCTCCAAGAACAGGCCAGGAGGTGCAGATGTCAGCCCACCTGAAGCTCCTGCTGCAGAGGGGGCATCACACGTCACATTGGACGTCTGCTGCAACAGCAGGGTGTGAGGTGCTAGCAGCACTCATGCAACCAAAGATCCTGAAGTATATTTAACAGGAGAAGCAACAAAAGAAAAATAAGTATTGTGGAAGAAAACCGACAGAATCTTAGGAGGACCAGAGACTGTGTGAGGTCAGTGCTGGCCTCCCCACAGGCCCCTGCCTGGCATGTCACCCCCTGAGGTGCTATGTGTAGCATCTTCTATCTGCATGAAGTTTTTATGGACAAGTTACAGTTTTCCTTCAAGTTTGAGTGTTTATCCATTGGGTGCTAGTCTGCTCTGAGGTATTTCATGGCAATACTCTGGTTCTTTTGAAATGATCAGAGGGGCAGCTCATCAGTCTCTGCGCAATCCTGAGACTGAGCTCAAGTCTGCAAGAGCCGAAATCTACTTGCGACTGTCTACCAGGTAGGGACAAAGATGATGTGTAGGACATGCAACCAACTCGATGTTTTGTTTATCCCAAATACAGCATGTGTGGTAAAATATGGAAGTACCTTGAATAATAAAGCAAGATGGTAGTCCTTTGAGATCATGAAGAAAGAATCAGGAAGGAATGCAGTGAAGGGAGGGAAAAAAGGAAAAATTAAGATTAGAAAGAGCCGGACTATATTTTAGGCATTTAGGTTTGATGCATATTTCTTATGAAAATAACTAAAAACATCGGGTAACTAAATTTGGGCAATACGAAATATTGTTAAAAGTAAGCACACAAGGTACCATCAGACACCCCAAATTTCCACATGACTTATACAGTCTTATGACAAAAATATTTCCATTTCATTTTAGGTCTCTCAAATTGACAACTAATGAGCCTGAAGTGCTAAATCTTCAAAATTGTTCACTGAAAAATATATAAAGCAATGCTGATGTTTCTATGTGCAGTTTATATTGAAAAGTTTATAATAGCTTCTTTTGGACAGACCTTTATTCCTTCTTTAATGGAATTCCTTCTCTGTTGGAATTTTGTAAGGGTGCAATCTACGCTAAATAATGCACATTGATTCCATGTGCGCCCAGAAGCTATGCAGCAACCTCCATCTTTGACACTTCTGTTTCTCAAGGCAAGACTGGCCTCCGCCTGCTGCTTTTCAGCATGGCAGTGCCTGGCACCCTGCTGTCCCTTGCCCTGCTGCTGCTCTCCTGTGCTGTCTTCCCTGGCTAGGGGAGGTTCTGTCTTGTCCCTGCTACTCATATGGAAACAGTTCACCAGCACAACTAAGACCACTGGACCATGGATCTGGGAGCTACGGCCTCATTTGAGATCCCAGCTACGACTTTGCTCCTGATGCCCACATGGGCCTGCAGGGTTAACGCTGGGTATCCTGTCCTTGATTTTAGCAACTGACACACTGAGATAAAAAAGGGACATAGAAATGCCAAATCCTCATACTTGCTTCCCTAACCCACCCTACAAGTCTACAGTTTTTAACAGAGGTTTCATACAGTTGGGAGAGTGGGGAGGAGTAAGGACTAAACAGTCACGCACAGCTCTCCCTTTCTCAGGCACCCTTGATGACCCTGGGTGGGGGTCACCTCAGAGGACCCTCACGAGGACTACTGCAGTCAGTCTTGGGCTGCAGAGTTAACTCAGCTGAGTTACTGTACAGACTGTTGGAGGTTTTCTGATTAAGGCAGGTAGAAAAGTTAGAAAAATAACTCCAAACGGTGAAGCCAGAACAGATGGAAAACCAACTCGGGAGCAGGTGAAGAGGTTCTGTGGTGATAACTGGTCACTGGTCAGAAAGCTCCAAATATATCTTCTGTGGAAAGGGTTAAGACACCTGATATGGAGTGAGACAGATGCACAGCCATGGTGACAAGGTGAGGCCCATGACAAGTCTGAGGGTCAGGTAAGGGTTTGGAGTCGCTCACCCCCCCCACCAATTTATTTTAGTTTTTCAGTCAACACAAGATATCTATTGGGATACTGAAGAAAATGAGTAGTAACAGTAGATACCATTTTCAGAGCACTATGTGCCAGGTACAATAATATTTAATCTTCACAACTCTGCATGGTAGTTGTGAGACTGGCAACCCGTGCCACAGGAATTGGGACAGGTCCGGCTCTGCCTGATTCCAAGTCTGTGCCTTGCCCACGAGGCTGCCTGCCTTTAGAAAGCTACGCCAGGGAAAGCACTGCAGAGCAGACACCAGGCAAGGTAGGAAGAGACTGATCTTTTTAAAAACATTTTCAGACACAGATTCCGAAATAAAAACATGGACTGCAACCAATGCTGTCTGGAATGATGTTTGGTGGGAGTAGCTGAGCAATGACCACTCCCTGAGGCCAGCTCTAAAGCCCGCTGTGGCCATGGAGTATGACATCACACAACCTCCAGGGACAGGAAAGGAAAGTTACAGAAAAGACCAGCAAACTCTTCATTAGGAAAGGTATGTTCTGACTTTTCATAACATAATGAAGTAAGGTAGGAAGGTTCACTGAATACAAGAATTTCCAGGTAAATTCTTTTAGAAAGCTAAAAATCATCTC